CCTTGGGGGGCTCCCTGAATTCCACAAGGAGCAGGTCTCAGGTGCACATGGCCACATTCAGGCCGGAATTCTCCAGTTGAGTGGGGACTATTCAGGTTGCTCCTGTTGTGGTTTCAACAGCAGGTCTCTCTCCTGGAAAAGTTATAGTCTTCCAACATGAAAGCAGATACAGGGAATACAGTTCTTACACTACTAACAAGGCTTTGGTTTTACATTTTACAAAACTCAGTGAATCTTTACTGAGGCCCTGCTATGTCCCAGATAGCTCCAAATGAAATCAATGAAGTCCCCGTGCTCAGCAAGCTTGCAGTCCAGTGCAGGGTACAGCCAGGCCAGACCCTTAATCCCGTCTGTCTCAGTTTTCTCAATAGCTAAATGGAGCCATTGAGGCCAGTCTCACCGGACTGTTGTGAGTATCAAGTGAGGGATGTTTATGATGTCACCTAGCACTGTTCTGGCACATGGTAGCTGCTGAGTGTCTGTGTGAGAAAGCATCTCGGACCGAGCACTATGTGAGACACCAAGAATCCCAAGGTGGCATTTACAGCTGACCCTTGAACAACAGGGATTAGAGGCACTGACTCCTCGAGTTGTTGAAAATCCACATCTAACTTTGACTTCCCCCAAAATACTACTACTAATAGCCTTACCAAAAATGTAGCCAGTTAACACATAGTTTATATGTTACATGTATAATATACTGTATTCCTATAATAAAGTAAGCGAGAGAAAAGAAAATGTTTTTCAGTCACAAATCTCTGAAAAGTTTTTCAGTATATTCACTGAAAAAAAAATCTGCATATACCTGGACCTACGCAGTTCAAACCCATGTTGTTCAGGGTCAGGTGTACACTAGAGAAGCTGAGAAGGGAAGGCATTGAAAGGCACTTTTTAAAAATGATTTGTAAAGCATCTTATGACGCTGGTGGACATTGACTGTAATGGGTTATGTGGTGGGGACTCGGGGGGAATCTATTAACCACAGTGTTGCTCATGTGATTATATACCAATGATACCTTAATAAAAAAAATGGTTTGAGAAATGCAGTCATGTGCATTATCTAATCAGAGCCTCTTTGCAACAGCCCTGTGTGCTTGGCTTTGGGGCAGCCTCATTGCTCATCAGGGAGAGGCCGGGAGGCTGGGAATTTACAGGGCCTGGCTCAGAAACAGAAACACAGGCTTGGGGAACTCTGAGAAGGAATTCTTCCTGGTGGAGGAATCAGGGAGATGAGCTGGGGGATGTGGTGTTGAGCAGGTGCTTAAAGGCTGTGCCACACCCTGAGGCTTTCAGAGGAAGTACCGGAGGCTGGGTGGGTGAGCGGGAATCCAGCACCTTCCAGCCAGAGCTGATGGAGGTGCATTCCTAGTGTTAGAAGGCATTTTGGTGAACAAGTATGGTTCTCAAGATGCAAGGACCAGTCTCCCAAGTCCCAGTTCACAGTCGCTCTGTTTCCTCATCTGTAAAATGGAGGTGTCTGTCTTTCCCCTCCCAACCCCATTCCTGCCCTGAGTGAGAACATGGGAGCGCCATTCTCCCCGTCACTTCTCTGGCCTTGCAGGAGGACTTGATATAAAAGCTGTAGACAGGGAGCACTTGTATTTTGTAGATTCTAATTATTTCTCTTTGCCAGGATGCTGGAACCATAGTTCCCTCTTCATAATCATAAAATTTTAACCTTGTATGTACAGTGACTTACACCACTCTACAAATGCCTTTCTCATCCCTCAGTCTGCTGTGTTGAGTACTTGCTGTGGCCAGGGGCCTTATGCGGGCCCACTTCAGGGCCAACATTCACAGTGCAGTGGCCAAGTTCTGGTCCTAACATTGGGTGACTAAGGTTTGTATCCTGGCTGTGCAGTGCTTGCCATTACTTACTCTCTTGAACAAAGTCCTTGTCCTCACCTGTCAGCTAGAGATAATAATAGCTCTCATGTCATCAGGTTATAAAAATTAAATGACATAATCCATCACAGAGCTTTTGCCCAGGTCCTGGTGCATGGTATGTGTTTACCTTAAATGGTATGTATGATTATTTTTATCCTTATTACTAATAGCATCTCCAGGCTGACAAGAGCCCTTCAAGGCAGGCATTATAACCCCATTTCGTAAATGAGGAAACCGAGGTGCTAGTAACTGAGGAGTTTGCCAATGGCCCCCTCACATCTTAAGTAGCAGAACCGGCTTTTGAACCCAAGTCTACAAACTCTACAACCTGTGTCTTCCCTGCTTTACCAGGCTGCCTTCATTCTCTTAAGATACTGCTAATCTCCCCATTTCAAAGGTGAGAAAAGTGAGACGTAGCGAAGTCCTTTAGCTGACATAACTGGGCCACCAGCCTGGACCTTCCTGTAAATCCTGCATCAGTCTCCCTGACCACATATGTTTTCAGTGTGCACCAGTGATTTCTGCCACAGCATAGAGCTTGCCTCACCCACCAGGTCAGTGGGGAGTGATAGGGCTTATACATGGCCTGGGGCTGTGTCAGGAATTCTCACCATCACGGCGGATGACTTCTAGTTGCTGTGTTAGGTCTTTTAAGGCCTCAGCCACCTAGGATGCTGTGTCCAAACCTTTGGGCATGGATAGTTTTTTAAAAAAACAAGCCAGTGGGACAAACCATGTCTAACCAGCAAGCAGAGAACGGCATAGAGGCACAGGCCTTATATCTGCAGTCCCTCCCGGCTGACCTCCACTTGTGAATGCAGGGGATTCAGAAGGAGCCTCTGGGGCCCTCACCCCCTGTCCAGATTTGACTTTCAGACCTTCAGGAGCCTGGATGCTCCTGTTGCCACAGCCCACAAATAACTAATGACACCACCCGTGGGCCCTTCCTTAGCCTGGAGCCTGCTCTCAGGGCCCAGACCAGCACCCATCCAGGAAGGCGCTTCAGGCAGTCTTTGCCCTCGTGAGCCGTGATGGGTGAGGGTCTGATACCCCAAGCAGAGTAGGCTTTGCCCTGACTCCTCCTGGACAGAGTTCCAGCTCAGGAGCAACACTTCAGGGCTGGAATGTTGACAGGGAAGCAGGCAAAGCCCATGGAGGTTCCTTGGGCGCTTGGGGTGGCATGGACGTGAGAGTGATGTTGAAAATCCTGGTTAGCATCCTGGGGTACACTGAGTCAGGCAAACATCTACATAATACTTTGTGCCAAGCCACATCAGTAAAGTGGAGCCATTGCCTTCCAGTCATGGGAAAGGCAGCCATGTGAACAGGGGAGCAGTGAAGAAAGCAGGGGGACCCAGGAGGCGGGGCCGACTCTGCCTCAGACTTGGGGAAAGGCTGTAGCAAGCAAGCAACGTCCAGGGCAAGTCTGTAAGTGGAGGGGCTTTTTGGCAGCTGCAGTGGCCAACTTGAGGCCCAAAGGGAGAAGGTCATGTGACATGTGGCGGTGGCAGTGTTAGTTTGGTGGGATTGTGAGGGTCTATGTTTAGGATGCTGTGGGGCGGCAGGTTGAATCCCGATTGGAGGGTGTCTGGAAATGAGTGAAGTAATTGGACCCAGTTTCAGAAGGGCCCCACGTGGGCTGCGTGTAAGCTAGGTGGAGGGTGAAGGGCAGTGGGCAGACAGGAGACAGGCAAGGGGGCAGCTCAGCAGGTGGTTCCGAGAGAGGATCCAGCCTAGAAGAGAGACCCGAGGGGCGAGTACTATGAAGGCATGGTTGATGGGGCGCGAGGGCTAGGTCAGGCGTGGAGAACTGTGCGGGACAGCTGCAGGTGGTGCTGAGCAAGGTGTGCAGGCTCAGGAACAGGTATGGGAAGGAGAAGCATTTTCCAATGGGGAGTTTGAGGATTTCCTTGGAATACCTGGGCAGGGTGAGGGGTGGAGCACAACCTGAATTAAAGAGATTTGGACCCCTTGCAAGCGGTGGCGGTCGGGGGTAACTAGGGAAAAGAGAGGTCAAGACTATGAGAAGGAAGACAGTTGTTTCTAAGGCAGAAGACAGGGTGAGGCCTCTGCCAGCTCCTGCCTCTGGGCCATGGTCCTCAGGCTAGCCGGAGAGATGCGGGACCGGAGGGCTTAGAGGGAGACGAGCTCCAGGAGGCCACCTGTTTTTGTTTGTAAACTTTTTCCTGAAGTATGTGGCACACACACATAAAAGTACACAGATCCTAGGGCCCAGTTTGATTATTTGTCACAAAATGAACATGAGCATCCATGTCAAGAAACAGAGCCTCTGACTCCCGCATTCACACCACCCCCAGCTCACTGCTTTCCTGACTTCTCGTGACACACAGATAAGTGTGATGCAGATGGCTCACATCTCCTGGCACAGATGAGTGTGACACAGATGACCCATATTCTGGGTCGCAGGGCGTGCACTCAGGTGCATCCACGTGTGTGGAGGTGGGTTCTTCGGCTCTCAGTCCTGCAGTGGCCCATTGTGTGACGAGGCCACGATTTGTTCATCCCAGTGATGTGGACACTTAAATTGTTCCAATCTGGAGTGCTCTCACAGAGTGCTGCAATGAATATTATAGTATGCAGTTGGGTTCCCATGTGGACATACGTCTGCTAGGTGTATGTGTGTCGCCAGGAAGGTTTGTGCTCCCTCTGCTCTGTATCAGCATACGGTCCCACGCCCACCCTGTTCCCATCCTTACTAATGCTTACTTTTGTCAATTTTTTAATTTTGGCTATTCTGATGGGTATGTGGTGGTGTCCTATTTTAATTTGCATTTCTCTGATGGCAGTGACCTTTTCATATTCTTGTTGGCATTTAGATTATCTTTTGTGAAGGTCTGTCTGTTCAAGACTTTGCCCATTTTTTTTCTACTGGGCTGTAAGCCACCTTGTTGATTATTCAGGGTTCTTTACATTCTAGATACATGCCCTTTGTTAGATAAATGAATTGGAAATATGTCCTTTCCGTAACTTGCCTTTGTACTCTATTAATAGTGTCTATTGATCATCAGAAGTTCTCAATCATCAAGAGATACTGTCAGTCCAACTTGTTAAATTAGGCTAATTTGTTCACCTTTTCGTTGACCTTACTTCCCCTTTCATAATCAATGTCTCTGAGTCCACTGTGCAAAATCTTTATTTATCTGAAGGTCACAAAGATGTTCTTCTATGTTTTATTGTACACACCTCACTGCTGTAGATCTTAACCTTGGGTCTTCCATCCCCCTGAAATTGTCTTGGCATTGGCAAAGGTGTGTGGCACTTCAAACTTCACTTTCTCTTTTGGGTATCTACCTGACCCAGCACCAGCCACGGGAGGTTCTTCTTTTACCCCTGTACTTGGCTGTCACTGTTGATGTAAATCAGGTGACCGTCCATGTGGGGGTTGATTTCTAAATTCTTTGTTCTGTTCTATTGGTCTGTTTTCTACCCTTTCACCAATACGACACTGTTCTATTTTCTATAATTTTATAGTTACTCTTGTCTTGATATCTGGTAGGGTAAGTCCTCCGGCTTTGTTCTAAGATTCTCTTGGCTTTTTTGAGCTCTCGACATTGCCATGTAACTTCTAGAATCAGCCTGTCAATTAGAAAAAAAAAAAGCCTGCTGGGAGTTTAGTTGGGATTGGAGCAAATGTACAAGTTAATTGGCATCTTAGAATATTGAGCCTTCTATTCCAGGACCGTGGTTTCATGCCCCAGGGGAGGTCTTTTGAACTGTTTGCAGGAACAATTAAAGAGTTGATAAAGATGAACAGTTATAAAGAACACATTCTCATAATAATAATTATAAATAATAAAAATAATAATTATTATTCTAAAAGTTGACTCTTTCCTGTCTATTCCCACTCAGTCCTCAGCCTTGACACAGCTCATACCTGTGCACAGAGCATTCCACACCAGGGCAACTTCTGATGAAAGCAGGGACGCAGGGAAGAGAATGGTGGTTCCCGTAGGAGTCTGAAGCTCTGGGGGCCCCTCTGTGACCCAGCTTGGCTCATGTATGCAATACCACATTTTGTGTGGAGCGCCCCTCATTGGTGTGAATCTGTTTATATCTCTGCCTCCCATACTGCAGTGATAGTGTCCCTTTCCCATCTGGGTCCCTAGCTTAGTGCAGGGCTGATCAGAGTGCAGATTCCCAGAGAACAGCTGTTGAATTAGTAAATGCTAAGTCTGTTCACACAGCTGCCTCCCAGGAAAACTGGCTCACAGGCTGGGTTTGGCTTAAAGGGTATTTTGACATTTTTAAATTAGAACGTTGAAAAGGCGGAAGTTTCACATAAAACCCAGACTTATAGCTTCTTTTGAAAAAAACAACAACAGAGGATTTGGCTAAAGAAAGCCCAAGTGATGCCTGCCAGCAAAGGCTGGAGCTGAGTAAGGCCACCTTCCCACGCATGTGGGCATGCACCACAGCCTCCGAGCCGCAGCCAGCCCAGGCTGCTGTTCCTCTGCTCTGCTCACGGCCACAGCCCTGTAGTGGCCCCCTGCACCTCGGCTTCAGTTGGGGCACCTAAGCGTTGCTTTAAAGAAAAACAAAGCTTTTTATAATGTCACATTTCAAATAAATACCAGTGCATAGAAGAGTGAATGCACCCATCCCCCGTGCTAGCCATGGTCCTCTGCAGCCAACTTGTTTCCTTCCCCCCTCCCTGCTGCTCCTGTATTACTTAGAGCAATCATATAATTTCTTAATAAATCATACTTCATATGAATTATGAATGAAGAAATCATGTGGTTCATAGGAAATTGGAAATATTTCCTATGAAATTATCTACAGAAATGAAAACACTCCAATCATCTAGAATTGAAGGACTCCCCTTTTTAGGGTTCATCCTCACACTCCTGAAGGTCAGTAGTAAGCTTTAGGATCGCCACACACTCAGTCAAGAGCACTTGTTCATAGTTCCCTGATCAAGTGATAAATTTTTTTAAACATTTTTTTTAAATTCAGGGTCTAAACCAGACCCATAAATTGCTACTGATTAGTAAGTCATATAGTTTTTCTCTTTCAATGAGGGGTCAGGTATATTGAGGTATAATATACATGCAGCAAAATTCACCTTTTTTAAGTGTACAGTTTGATGAGTCTGACAGAGGTATGCAGTGTAACCTGTATTACACTCAAGTTATAGAACATTCTGTCTCCCCAAAAAGATCCCCCCATGTCCCTTTTCAGTCAGGAACCCCCAGCCCTCACCTGTAGCCACTCATCTTAGTCCTGTCTGTAGTTTTGCCTTTTCCAGAATGCCATGCAAAAGGAAGTAGGTAGCTGCAGCCTTTTGAGCCTGGTTTCCTTAGCATAAAGTGGAGTTTCTTACTTCAGAGTTCCCCTTCCAGCCCTGTTTCTTCCTTGCAGCATTTTTGCTGAAGAAACCAGGTCATTTATTTCACAGTTTCCCATAGTTTGGATTTTGCTGATTGCATCCCTCTGGGGGTGGCTTCTGAAAAACCACAAAAGAGCTCATTGCTGGAGCGACCTTTATTCAGGAGCTTGCTTCCAACCGAAGGGAACAGGAAAGCCCAGAGTCAAAGGCTGCTGGCGTCACTTCCATCCATCTTTCTCTATTGAGTGCCGCCAGATGGAAAGTGAGCTAGACATCCCCCTCGTGCAGTTCGGGGTCACTGTCTCTAGAGAGGTCCCCAGCTCTGCCGAATGTGAAAATAGAAGCTCAAGTGAGTTTTACAAAGAGAAAAGCACACAGGAGACATGGGTGCTTGGACTGGAGGGGGGCAGCAGCCTCCCACCACCCATGGAAGCAGCCGGAAGGTGGGCTCAGGATGTGCACGCCCCCTCTGCAAGCGCAGGCCTGGGGCTGCCGGCTGCCGGCTGAGGGATGTCACCTGCTTCTCCTTCTGTCCTGTCTCCTGATGAGACTGAGTGGTTTTGCCATTCTGGCTAGCACCTGCACCTTCCCAGGGGGCCTGTCTGGGAAAGCAACGTGGAGCTGAGCACTGGGGCTCTGGCTCCATCTCTGCCAGGCATCAGGGCACAAGGACAGCAGTGACCTAAGGGCTCACATGCATTTGGGAGTGTTGAGGGTGGCACCCTATTCCCAGGGGTTGTGGGAATGTGCAGGAGGGACAGCCCTCCAATGGTGGATGTGTTGGGATTTAACTGACCCCGAACTGAGTCTGGGAGGCTGAGTAGAAAGCTGGGAAAGGGTTGTGGTACAGAAGCTCAGGGCAGGGACAGGCAGAGCTTGCTCTGGGCAAGGCATGTCCTGGTAGATCCCAGGTCTAGGCCACTGAGAGAATTGGGAGTCACCCAGGGAGTTGGGGGTCATGCAGGGAGCTGGGACAGAAGAGTCTGGAGAGATGGATTACCCAGGGCCTCTGGCCTTCCTCTGGGTTGGTTTTATCTGAGCCACAGGAAGGACTTTGAACCAGGGCAGGGTCCTGAGAGCAGCCTTGAAGAGCAGTTTGGAATGGATTGGAGGAAGGTCCGGAGGCAGTGACGGTGATGGGAATGGGCGCGGGCGGGGGTGGGGAGGAAGTGGGATAGGCCAGGGCCGGCAGTGCAGATAGAGAGGGTACAGAAGCAGGAGGTGCCCACAGTTCAGAAGGGACTCCCCGCCAGAGCCCTCTAGAACATGATTCTCAGATCCCTGTTTTACAAATGACAAAGCTAATTTGAGGAGCGGTGAATGACTTACCCAAGGTTGAGAGTCCATAAGCTGATAGCAGGATTTCAGCCCTGGGGTTCTCTTTCCATACTTTTGCCTCCTGCCTCCTAAACCCCACCTCAGCCCTGTCTTTGCCCTTCCTTCTGCCCCACTTCCTTTTCCCCTTTGTTTGCAGGCAGTGGCAGAGCCACTTTGTCTGTCACAAGAGCCACGTCATCCTAGGGTCAGAGGATGTGACTTTCTCTCTGTCACTGACTGGCACATAGCCCTGAGCAATTCCTTGGCCTTCAGCCTCTCCCTGGGCTGTCTGCACGATGGCTCTCATCCTGCCTGACACTGAGTCACTGCTTGATGGACTGTAGGGCTCCAGGGAGAGGCCAGAAAGCTGCCCTAGGTGCTGGGAGGGCAGCAGCCCGGGCGAGGGCACGCTGCGGAGTCCTGCTGTGTGTGGTGGTGAATATGTGCCAGAGGCCGTGCAGATAGCGGGCCCATAAGGAAACAGCAGCCCACTTGAACCGCAGAGCACCCTAAAGGGTAGGCACCCAGAACTTCCAGGAAGGGCTGTGATGTGTGCCATCCAGACCTGTCCAGGGGCTTCTGTGAGCTGTGCCTTGGCCAGTGGGCGGCCAGGGGAGGTGAGTGCCTGCTCCACTTGAGCCTCAGTCTCCCTAACTGTCAAATGGGGCTAGAAATCCTTACCCAGTACACAGAATGGGGAGGATTAAATGAAATAAAATATAAAGCCCCTTGAATACTAACTGGCATACAGCACGCACGCAGTAACTAGTCGTCCCCATTCCCTATTTTGTCTTTGACCCATGGCCTCCCACACCTGCTTTAAGTTCCCAGCTGCCAAAAGCCAGCTGTCATGGGAAGTGGGGGCCTCGCTGCATCCTGCCCCAGCTGGCTTCCTGTTCTTGTGCCATCGGTGGAGAGAGCTGCTGTTTTTTATTTAAGCTCCAGAGAACCATTTTGTTTTCACCAAAGGCAGCTTTTCCAAACTGTTAGCTTTCTGCCGCGGGGATGGGACAGCTTTGCCCATAGAGCAGTGCAGGCTGGCCTCATGGAGCCTTCTTCCCTCCCCACCCGCCACCCACCACCCAGCCCCCACCCCTGTGGTGGGAGCCTCAAGGCCAAGATCGTCCTGTTCTGCCCAGCCTGGCCCACAGCTCTGCCACCATCTCATACTGTAGCTCAGTGCTTCTCCCCTCTGATCATGATGCATGTACCCTGGGCGTTGGAGAACTTGTCACCACACACAGGCTCTGGAAGGGAACTGTTGAAAAGCAGCTGCCCCATGTGTCACCAAGGGCGGTGGAAAGTCCCAGAGGAAATCAGTTCCACTGTGCAAAAAATTAAATTTGAGTTGAAGTTTTCAGAAATCCTCCTGAGTGTTCCAGGGGGCTGGAAACAAAGTGAGTCAGCGATTTGTCCTCCCCCCTTTCGTCTTTCCCATATGGCCAACTGCAGTTTGACTTCTGAAACCTCATCCAGAGAGACTTCTGCTCCCAGTCTAGGAGAGGAAGGCCCTAATTGGAACCTTTTGGACTGTGTTTCAGAGCCGCACGGCCCTGGGCTCCAAGCCTGGGCCAGCCGCTGCCTCTCCTCATGGCTGTTAGTACTCAGGCGCCTTTGCAGGCAGGGTTCCCAAGAGGAGACATCTCAGCAGCAAACGCAGGGCCCACCTTTCCAGGGGCCCTGCCACACGACAGGAGGACAAGATGTGCCCTTTCCACAGCACGCACTGTGTTCCCAGGTGATGTGGGTTCAGTGTCTTAGGCTCTGCTGCCCACAGGTCCTCTTTGGGGAGGAAGATGGGACCCAGATCTAATCTGATAGGATCCTGAGGCACCCTGGCAGAGGGATCATTGTGGCTTCCTTTATGGAGAAGCGGCCCTACATGGCAACCTGCACACGCTGCCTTCTGGGGTCTAGAAGTGCTTCATTCAGCTACTGACTTCCTTTTCTTTTTCTTTAATGGGAAAGGGGGAGGATGTGGGGAGAATGGGCTCTGATATAAACAGTTGCCAAGGAGACCCGAGTCGGGGTTGGAAAGGTTTTCTCCTTCCCTGGGTCCATACAGAAGGAGGGGGTGGGGGGGTGTGCCCAAACGCAGGGGATCACGGGAGGCCTCAGCCCTGGGCCCTGATTCCTCCCTGCCGAAGTGCCAGATGTTGCTGCGCTTGCTGGCTTATGGGACGCAGGCAGGCAGGGGCTCAGCAGAGGTTCCAAGAGGCCTGGGGTGTCAGGAGCACTTTCAGAGCCCACAGCCCACCAGCTCTGCAGAGAGGATGGACACAGCCCAACTTCCTAGCTGCTGGCTCCCTGCCTGTTTCCAGGAATGAGCTGTAACCTGCCTTTTCCCTTGAACCTTGGCATTGGGAGTGAGAAACTATGGGATGCGCGTACTCATCTCCGAGGGACGAGGCGCCCCTGAGAAGGTCAGTTCCAGACAGTGTCTCTGGTGGCAGATTGTGTGAATGCCCCTCAGCCAAGGGGCCACGTGGCACCCAACCTAAGTGTGGATGGAACATCTTCGCAGGCAGGGGCCCCCTGGAGGCATGAAGAGGGTGCTGTTTAGAGCTGACCATTAGGGTCAGGGGTGGTCCCCAAGGCTTACCTGGATGTGCGCACCTCTGGCCCCTTTGGCCCTGGTTTGCAGGCTGCATTAACCTGCTCGAAGGAAGGGGTTTGGACCAGAAACCAGGAAGTCTGTCATCCCCAGCTCCTCTGTCTGTGGAACACCAGGTTCCGTGTGTAAATTCCTGTCAGCTGGGGAAGGCCGGCTGAGAGTACTCTGGGGTGGGCCCCCTTGGGCCGAGCAGGTGGACTTTGCAGTGAGAAGCAGGTCGTGCTGCTCTCAGCAGGGACATCAGGAAGACGCATCAGGGCCTGCTCCATCTCCTCCGGTTTCTCTGCTCTCCCAGACCTTGGTCTGCCCAGGACTTGTGGATGCCACCCAGAGCCAAGGGGAGAGGGTGCGAGTGTTTCTCCTTCCCCAGGGGCTAAAGCTCACGAAGGCACCGGTGCTAGCCTTCTGACGTGCTCTTGGGAGACCCCTTCCTCCCGCGGCAGGGCGGTTGAGGACATCTTGCCCGCCCTCTGACATTGGCAGCCAGACCTGCCTGGGGCGTACCTGTCCTCTCCCAGAGCCTCCAGCCAGGACTTCTGCCCGCCTGACTGGGAGGCCCTCCTCCCTCACGTACCCCTAGGCAGCCAGCGTTGGGCTCCCCACCAGCTGCACAGGCCTCATCCAGGAGTCCCTTGGCTGCTAGTTTCCATGGCATTCTCTCTGGGAAGCTGTTTTCTGTCCCTGAGAATAGAACCAGCTCTTCTGAGAGGCCTTTCCTAGTTTCTTCAGCAACAGTGCCTGCTCCCTGTGACAGGAGTGTCTGATCCTTCCATTTGGTCTTAGCACATGCCACCTTGTGCCACTGGGCATCTTTGAACTCACAGAGTGACCCAAACTGTTCTAGGAAACACCCTCTTTTTCCCTAAGAGTTAGCAGGGTCCGGGTGCTATGCAAGGGGAAGGCAAGGAAGCCATGGTGCAGTGTTTTCAGTAAGAGAAGGCCAGGTCTTGAGAGGCCACAACTTGTCCAGTCACAGGCCCATTTGGTGGCAGAACCAGGATTTGAACGCATCTCTGCTCCTTTTGTGCAGCCTCTCCCACCCTTCCCTGATTCCCCATGGAGCCTGTCTTTCCCCAACCACATGCTCGGCCCTTGGAAGGTAGAAGCTGCCTCAGTCTCATCCCTGATGTTGGCACAGTGCCTGCCCCGCCCAGGCTGGCACATCACCGTAGGTGGAGGGTAAAGCAGCCCACACTCACTGGACCGTGGGGGCACCTCTGGTCCTTTGCTTCAGCAAGTCTTCAAACCCACCGTCTTTAGACAGAGGACAGGTCTTCTTTGCCCCTTGAGAATGGACAGGAGTTGGCTTTTCACTGATGTCAGACCCTCTCAGGTAGGTAGGGGAGCCCTCAAAGGCCTTCTCAGGCCACTTCTGCCAACCTTGTGCTGGCAGGGCACTTGGGACTGATAGCCCCAGAAGCCAGTAAAAACACCATGTACCAAGTGTCTTGTGTCGTACTGATCGCAAAGAGATACAGACGGCTCCCCGAAACCGCTAAACCCAGGCCTCACACCAGCAATGAAGCCACATCGAGTCCAGTGCCTGGACTGAGGCATGTGCTATATTAAAGACAGTGACAAATAAGCTCACCAATCGCGGGGCAGGGAAAGGTACTCCGAAGAGGAACTGTATACATTGTGTCTTAAAGGATAAGTAGGAGTTGGGAAGGATTAGGGCAGGGCCTTCTAGGCAAAGGCACAGAGGAGCCCAGGCAGAGCTAGTCTGTCAGTGTGGCCCAGAGCTGGCGAGGGGTAGGGAGATGGAGCAGTTCATTCTCTTATTTAGATTATCTTTTATGAGATGGAGTTCCACTGGAGCTAAGCTGTTCTAAGCTAAGAATATTATTAGCTTATTATCCTCACTGGAGCCTTCAAATTCTATCTGCATCTCCACACACCATTCCTAAACATAGAATATTATGTTTATTTTCTCCCTACAAGCATTACATGTTCGTTGTATACAACAAAGGGTTGGGGGTTAGAAGTAGGAATTATCAGAAGAAGGAAACAAACAAAACTCATGATTGCTCAACCCCAGAAGAGCTCTTAACACATTCATGGAAATCCTTCTACACCTGCCTTTTTAACTATAACAGATTGTGTCATCCATATTATAACCTGCTTTTCCCACTTAACAATACATCAAGGACAGCCATCCACAGAATAATGATCTGCACTCTCCTGGTTGATGGTGAACAAGGGTGCGTTGCGTCGTGTGGCACAGCATAATGTGTTCAGCTTCTCCCCTGTTTTATAGACATTTTGAGTTGCCCCTCCCCCTTCTTTTAAGACTATAAAATGTATTTTTAATTATAAAAATAATGTGAAAAGCCAAACTTTTGGAAAATTACAGGAACCACCTCCTGTGTTACTGTAACCCTTAGACATTCTCTGTTAAGGCGCTTGTGTCTTTCTCCTCAGGCCCTTTTTCTACGAATAATTAAGAATGTATGTCTTTTTTTTTTTTAAGGCCGCAGATGCTTGTTTTCCTCTTGCCAGTCCTACATGATAGGCTGGCAGAGGCTGAGGGTGCAGGGAGAGGCACCTGGGCGCAGCTGTCCTCCGAGCTCCGCCCGGCCTTGCTCCTCATTCTAAGCCTCTACCAGAGCTGCTGCTGCGGGGCATCCGTGCGCAGCAGGCTGACAGCAGTTGAGAGACTGACAAAGCAGAGTTCTGTATAGGTGAATGTTCCAAACCCCAGCCTAGCCCTTTTCAGGTGTCAGCTAAATGCCATCAGTTTGTATTTTTTAATTGTGGTAGAATTCACACCCCTTGCAATTCATTTCAGCCATTTAAAGGGTACACTTCCATGGCCTTTAGTACAGTCCCCATGTCACAACACCATACCACTGTCTAATTCAAAACATTTTCATCACCCCAAAGGGAAACGCTGTCCCCATTAATTGCTCATTCTGTGCACTCATGAGCACCACCAATCTACCTTCTGTCTCTATGGATTTGTCTGTTGTGGATATTTTGTATAAATGGAAATTATGTAGTTCTGTACCTGCTTTTTTGCTCAAAATATTTCATCAGAACATTCGCCTGCGTTGCTGATATTTAGTCATCCGTTTAAAATTTAAGTTTGATTTTACATTTAGTAGGTAATACATTCTTGTGACTCAGAACGCAAGAAGCACACAGTGGTAGAATTAACATCATCGCACACCTCGCTGTCTTCATCTCACGGCG